TTTTTTTTTTTTTTTTTTTTTTTTTTTTTTTGAATTTCTTTTCTCTTATATAGTTCAATTGCATTTCTTGAGTGATAATTTAATCTTATTATTAATTATTGTTGTTCAAAGGTTTAAAGGTACACATATCTAGCGATGTTGCTGTTGTTACCATTGATCAGAAAGAAAAAAAAATTGAAGAGATACCATTGCCAGGTATGTTCTATTCCTCTCCCTCTGTATATAATGAAAAGCAAAATCAACTCTACTCATATATAGTTATCATCTATATTTTAATTACCTATGTCACCTCGTCTCGTTAGATATCATTGAATATATATGGTGTTCTTTTTTTATAAGCTAATGTTGTTTCAATATTAATTTGTTAATAAGGACTCAGGTTATTCATAATATAATATTGCTCGGATCCAAATTTTTTAAAATTATTCAAATAAGTTGAATTGTTTCCATTTTAATAATTTTTCTTTTTGGTTATTAGGCCGACTATGGAGATTGGCTTCATTCATTCTTCCATTCTTAGGTATAACACAATCAAGTTTTTCTTTTTTCCTTCTTTTTGTCCATTTAACAAAATCAAAATTTTAATTTATCTTTTACTTCTATGCTTATGCTTTATTTTTATTCTTAATTTAGGCATAAAGCAAATACATGCTTTAAAGTTGAGTCATGGCTTCGCGGGTGCGAGTCTACGTTTGATCTGTGAGCACCTGACAAAATTACACTTGAGTAAATTTGAGGACACGATTGCACTAAGGAAAGCACTTACTAGGGCGATCGAGAATGACATTTATGATTTTTTCACTAAAGTGGTCGAAACTAATGCTAACTCACTCCTTGCACCACTACCGGCAAAAGATGAGACTACAAGTAAAAACTTTCTCATGGATGCTATTGCATGTCGTCAAGAGAAAATTGCTCACTTTCTTATTAGACTCCCCTTTGGCAAGGTATTTATCGATTTCGCAGATTCACAGTACACCACTATATTACATGTGGCAGGCAAATTGGCTTCTAATTCTCAACTTTCTCGCATTTCTGGTGCTGCTCTACAGATGCAAAGAGAGATACAATGGTTCAAGGTATGTAATGAAAATCAATAGTTTTTATTAGTCATAAATCATAGTACTTAGGAATATATACAAGGATATTCCAACCATGTAAAATTCTCTACATAACAAGTATTAAGAACTGCAAATTTCCAAAAGCACATTAGGAGTTGAGCACTATATATATAGAACACAATAGTAGCTCCACTAAAAACAAAAATGTAATATGCGAGGGAAATCATCATTGGTCATCTTGTCATTAATTGAGATCAACTAGAAGCCAAAAACACTGCCTCACAAAACATCCCTTCCCATCTTTAGAAACAAAGTTCACTTTAGCCTCTTCGGATCCATTGTAGGATTCTTCTTTACATTTTTGCTTAATTCTTTCTAATGATTAAATTAAATTAGGTTTTACTATTATTTTACTTAGATCATCAATTAAAGCCTTTTTTTTTCCTAAAAAAAACCCTCTTTGTCTATGACTCTATGGTGCTTTATCATATATATGTATGTGAACATAGGATTTCACATTTAAATTATTAATTTTAAAAATGCAGGAGGTTGAAAGCCTTCTTAGCCAACGTCTGAAAGATTTAAGAAACAACAATGGTGAAACTGCTTACCAAGTTTTGGCTAGAGAGCACAAGTCTTTGCTTAAGGAAGCAGAGGATTGGATGAAAGGATTAGCAAATTCATATATAATTGTTGGTGCTCTCATCGTTACCATAATGTTCGCGGCAGCTTTTACCCTTCCTGGGGGTAACGATGAAAATAAGGGATTTCCAATATTCAAAAACAAAGCAGCATTTCTGGTATACATAATATCCGATGCCATATCTCTGTTTGCTGCAGCTGCCTCAGTAATAATTTTTTTGGGATTTCTCACATCGCGTTACAACATGGAAGATTTCCAAACATCTATTCCCAAGAAGTTGATGGCTGGGCTTTCTACTTTGTTTGTCTCTCTTGCAGCAATGATGATAGCATTTTGCTCGGCTATTTTTCTCATGCTAGAAAACAGATGGTGGATTATCATTCCATCTGTCTTACTTGCGGGCATTCCAGTCAGCTTGTTTGCGTGGTTGCAGTTTCCTCTGCTCGTTGAGATTTATGTTTTAACTTACAGATCACCAATTTTCAGTGAGAAAAGATCCTTGGCAAGCAAAATAAAAGCATTCTTCTCTGGGAAAAAGAAGATTGAGTAGGTCTAGATGAATTTTTGTTTTATGTGTCTTTATTGGTACCGTAGCAACTCTAAGGTCCATGCTTGGTTGTCAGTGAACATTAATTTTATTGCCACTTTGTTTTTGTTATGCAATAGAATTCTTCTGGTGCCTGCATAATTTTCAGAGTTCACATATAAGGAAATTGGTGTTCACATATAGCTAGGATGCTTAGCTTTTGATCTTCAAATGTTAGTCCGACAAAACAAGCTAGTAAAGAGGCAATGGAAACCGCAGTCAAGGATGTGGAACAAACAAAAGTAGAAGGATTGTTCAGAGAAATGGTAGCAAAGTTAAGTATCCAATACTGACAGTACTACATTCCAAAATTCTGGAGAGCAATAAATAGATTAGAAACATTTAAAGACAAAACATATGGTCCGGTTTACTATAATTTTAGAAACAAAACCAGAATTTGCTAAAAATTAGTCACCTCCTCCAGTCATTTACTACTATGATTATTTAAGCACGCACCCCATGGTTAAGACTGACTATGCAGCTTGAAGCATCCATTTGGGAACCTTTAATTGATGGAGCAATCTTCCCAGAATATCCACCTGCTCCTCGCAATTGACCGGACCAATAGCTTCCTCCAAAAGCTTGACCAAAAGCCAATGTTCTTCCACCACCAGCACCATATCCTGTACGCCCGCCACTACCTTGCCTCCCTTGAGAGAAGGACATGTCTTGCCACCTACCACCAGTAGAAGTTATCCCATCAGCATAATCCTGGTTTTCTCTCCCCCTGATGGGCAGATCCAATCCACCACCACCACCAATCCTTGCCTCCACTCCCTCTCATTACTTTCAGTAAAAACTGAAATCTCCTCAGTCAATTGGAATGCGGACACTCTGTAGCCTTGTGTGCTCAACATCGTGGTGGACAATACATCCGGTTGACTGGTCCCAACTTGCATGCAATTCTTCATTAATCATCATCTTGCTAACAATTGGCTTTCAACCTCATTTTCATAATCACTCTCCTCTTCCCCAGTGTCACTATCATTCTGTTAACAAGAGATTAAACATTACTTGGAAAAAATTTACATTTTACAAATAAAGAAATGCCTAAAACATCGATGTGACCCCAAAAACCTTTCCACAATCTAAGATGGAACAAGAAACCAAAAAAGATTACTGGGTTAACAAATATAGATTCCCAAACTGGGTCCAGAATCGTGATGCCATCTTTCTGTCTAAAATAAAGTAATTAGTTCTCGCTGACGCAACACTTAAAATTCAAAGATATCAATATAGAAATCGTATAAAATCTACAAATTTTTTGCAAAATCCAAAAGCGTATTAATGGGTTTTAATTAAAGAACAGAATTTAGATAATAATATATTATATGACATGGTTCCTGAGAACTCCAAGATCCAAAAATGGACTCAATTCCATAGAAAACAGAAAAAATTACAAACAAAATCCGATTTTAATAAAAATAGCATGAATTCCACCCATAAGCTTCCTTCCCGAACTAGAATTCGAGGATCGAAGGTAGAGATGCGTACCTGAGGGAGCAGTGGTGGTTGTAGCCTTGTAGGGTAACACTAAGTTAGGAACACCACGGACAATGGAAACAGATTCTTATTTTCAAAGTCCATTGCCTTCATTTTGGTGTCTCCGTTTTTCCTGGCCTTAGCTTGCTAGGCCTACACTTCTTTTGGGCTTAGTTCCTGACTATTTTTTAAGGCTGGGTTATTCGTCATGATGGACCGTTTCAGAAAAATAATAATTGCTTGGCCCACTAGTTCTGGATTTGGGCTTAGTATTTGGAGCCCTTTTGCATCCAAAGTATTACATTCCCTTTTTTTTTTGGTAGAATAGATATAATATATTAAATACTAGGCGGAAATGGTCCTGGGAACTTGATTCCCAATAACATCACAGAGTACAGATGAAAGCATAGTTCAGGCGAACATTGTTC